GGGGGGGGGAAAGGGGGCGAGAGAAGAGGCTTCTTCACTAGTCGACTTAAGAGGCTTGGCACGGTTTTATAAATAAGCCTTCACAGGCTAATGATTACACTAAACACCTTCCATAAAAACTCCCTTTACAAGTGGAAATGTAGTAGCAGCTCCATCTGTTTAAAAACAGATTCCTTCCACTTGTAAAGTGAAATGCATGACCTTTGGACTGACATGGTGGTATTGCTGCAGTGAAGCCTCCATTTTGCCTCCTTTGGGGTAAAGCCGTGAGCTTTCTCGCCACGCCTCACTCTTCAAGGCATTTTCGTAATGCTTTCTGCATCAACCATTAAAAAAATGGCGGAATTTACAACTACTGGGGCGAAAGATGTAATGTGCATTATAAATATTTAGCTCGTTATAAACGTTTACGATTTCAGCAATAAAATGTAACAATTGAACCATCTGTAAGTGGTCTCGTCCATGCTGCGGCACCAAATTATTTCTCATTCATTCTCTCTCTCTGTGATAGCCCAGTGGAACCACAATTTAATTGTAACAGTACTCTGTAAAGCTCTTGGAGACGTCACCATGGGTGTAGTTACGCGAGATTCCATGATTTCATTCTCAATGCACTACTTCTTTTCTCCAACTCTATGAAAACGCACTAATTTAGTGGGTCATTCGATGGGTACAAAGTACAACGTGATGGTAGCATTAAGAATGAGGACTATTCTCTTTTTAATTCCAACTGTGTCAAGTGATAATTTATTTTTACCATTTAAATAAGACTGATTAGCGCAACGTGGTACATCACGAACCGCAGTTCAAAAAAATTAACCAATAAGAAATCAACCTCAAGGTCATTGGGGATAAGTTCATTATCATTGATCACAAGGTATAATAAAATGAATTGATATTTGTTTTGGAGGCTAACAGTTCTCAACGATTTAATGACAACTGTGGAGCACACTGAGTGAGGAGGCATGGACGTGAACAATGGGCGTAAAACGCCACGCATAAAGAGAAGAGGCAGATGGGCTTATTTGAAACTCCTCTTTATCTCAACAATCTTTTTACTTACCTTTTTATTCAAAATACAAATTTTGCCCAAATTCATGCAACGTCGATAGCTCTGCGTGGTAGGAAATGCAAACTAATGATGTCAACGTAAAGAGGAGCTTTGGACCTGCCATTATGTACTCAAGGCCAGGCCACTTGACAAGATTACAACAATAGAAAAGCCTAAGTTCTCTACAAAACCAAAATAATTGAGGATGGGAAGACAAAATTGTACGTGTTTTCCATCCATGGCACTTCACCTGTGCAGCTACCATGGAACATTTGATGGTCACTTGCAAACTGATAGATTGCAACATAAAATTACCTTTCAACTACAATTTTACGCCTCCACAATTCCACTCACCATATTGTTCCGGTCAAATAATTTTTTTAGGCGAAAACGATTGTACCGCCAAATTGTTCTCCACTCGGGTCTCATCTTTTCACGATGATTTTTGTGCAGCTGATCCACTTTTCAAAGACTTCATCCTCAAGTGCCTCACGTGAGTTCTGACCAACGTTTTCGTCATTCCCCACCATCCCCCTCCCCATCACTTTTACCGTAAAATGTCAAAATATGAAAGTGTTTTTGTCCACAACAAACACTGCTACAATGGTAAGGGGCTAGCTCCACCTTGTCACCGTGTGACATGTCACTCAAGCCGTCTGTGGTCAGTGGAATGAGTGGGAAACTCATATTATTGTTCGTTTTGCAGATTATTTTAGAAATTAATTTAACATTTGGTAACACATCGAACTTACTTTTCACAATTTTGCAACAGTTGGAAACCTGAGGAACGTATGACGGTAGAGGAGGCGTTGAAACACCCATGGATGAGACATGACAAGTCTCATAAACACAACGAGGATACTGTCAGTAAGTTGGTTAAAAGAGCAGATTTACTTTTTTAAGACACAAAGTTTATCCTTGGTAATTTCATTCATTTATTACACATTACATTATACCATAGCCACTTTCTACTTAGAAGGCGGTGACTTTATGCAAACAGATATGCTTACTACGGCTGTGTCCGCCAGTGGTAAAGTGGGTGATGCTGACAGAGGCACCAGACCTGTAGGCCAATCAGTATGTCAACTGATGCATGAAAATTGGCTAGAAGGAGAGAAAAGAAGCTTGACAGCTGAGCACCTCACCAAAGGTCTCAAATCCTCTAAAGTCTTGTACATCAATATTTCTAATAGTTTTCCCCACTGTCGTGGAGGTCTTAGGGATTTTTAAACAACAACTCGATTTTGGAGGTATCTCACGCATCACCGCTAATTGCGCGATCATTACGCACTCTAACAAAGTCTTTCCGAGGCTGTCTTTCAGAATTTCTGTCACATTTGGGCGTGGAAGTTGTATCTTTGAAGGTTGCGTATTTCCTGGTTTCACAAAACACGTTCAGGTCCTCATAGACATAGTTTTTAGAGTTTTCTAATGCAAGTGCACAGTGGTCATAGTCCGCATTTTCCACCCGCATGACCGAATCGGTTACTAGCTTCAACGCCATTGGTCGCCTCCATTCTCGCCCTCCCATTGGTTAGTTGTCAGGAGGATGGCGAGCATCTTTGACGAGACACTTTTTCACGTATTTTCCCCCTTCAGCCATCGTTCTGTGTGCTAATTGGAAGTGGGTAGTTGCCCTAATGTAATGTGAGGTCTGGCTTGCGTACGGGATCATAAATGACTCTCCAGAACTTCGAACCGTACACCAGCCATTTCTTTCGTTGAAGGACAGTCGATGAAGAAGGAATGGCACTAAGCATACGTCCCTCATAATAAAATTAAATCAGAAATGCAAACCGTGTGTGTGTATGGACGTCGAGAAACTGCACTACCTCTGACCAAATCACGATTCGCCTCTTGCCCTCCCTCCCCCTCCAAATCGCTAGTAGAGTAAAAACCGTGATTATTTGAATGGGTTGTAGAGAGCCTCTCCTACCGAAACTGCGCACCGTGCGGTGATTCACCCTTCAACTCGTCTGAGTCGCATGGCGCTGACTACTCTACCGAGAAAAGTCTGACACGACGTGACAGCGGAGTTGGGTGAGACTGC